AACACAGACACGCACACAAATCTACTCATCTACTTGATAAAATAAAGAACAATAAATCCCTTGAAAGAGAAATAGAACACAAAATCAGCACCAGCGCACCACAAAATAACCCATAACAATAAACTCACCCACACAAAACATTTAACCTGATGGAAACTGTTAACAGAAAACTATCTCCACCACAAAACAAAAACAACCAAGAAAATAAAAGAACAAATAACAAACCCAGAAGTACACATGCACGCAGATACCAAAACAAAAAAATACCCTTAATTTTTAACCAAGAAAAAAAAATAAGGGCACAACACATGTGTGAAGCCATGGATGTTATTTTCTGAAGTTCATGATAACTAAGAGGAGTGAAGTTTCAAGTTTTTTTTTTCTAATTTTTTTTAAGTATTATGAATGCATAATCAATTTCAGTTGACCAACCAAAAGGGATTTGACCATATCTTCCTAGAATAGCAACAAAACTCCAATAATAAAGTTGACATGCCATGATCTCTGGCAAACAAAATTTAATATCGTATAACTCCTCAGTGAAAAAAAAAACTTAAACATATGTGTTGGAGTCAGAGGGAATATCCCAATCTAGAAGTGCATGAAATGTGTTAGAAGGTGTCATGCACATAACGAAAACTTATGGGAAAGCAATATGTGTAAATTAAATATTGCGTGCTGGAAATGAATGAAAACTTTCAAACTGTGTTATATGTGCAGGTGCTTTATATGTGCAGGATATAAATGCGCTAACGTGTATAATGTGTGTCACAATGTGTGATGTACGTATGATAAGTGTTTGACAGGTCAAAAGATGTCCTGGCGTATACGTGTGTTGACAAAGAAATCCAGAAGTGCCTCTGCTATGCTATATATGTGAGTGTCCAGTTAGTTAATGATGAAAAGTAAATCAACTTACCTGAGGTGTGCACGATGTGAATCGCCAAAGGCCACTCTAGGTACATCCTCTGGCACTGGAGGAAACACATTCCAGAGCCTCAGGGTCAAGTCCACACCCCCTGAAGCAGAGGCAACACTCTGACCATCTGGGCTCAATGCCGTGTACATAACCCGGTCACCATGGCCAACAAGCTCACCAATCCTATCCATGGAAGGATACTCCCAAAGTGTCAGCTGCTTCTTGTTACCCCCACAAGAGCTTAAGATTTCCTCTTTGCTCTTGCTCCACAGAAGAGAACAAACTTGAGAACTGCCCGTTGTCACCGAGCTCACACAATCTCCAGTTCTTGTATTCCAAAATTTAATTGACCCATTGCTATCATCATCAGCATCACCACCAACTCCTCCTCCAGTAGCCAGCAAATTTTCCCTAAACGGGCACCAACCAAGGGCTCTAACTGCACCAGTAGCAGCCGCCCTCAACCGAAACATCCACCGATCCTCAATTCGAGAATCCCAAATGTAAACCAGCCCATCCCTTCCTCCACTTGCCAACTGCTTGAAGCCCGAATCAGCCCACTCAAGCCCACATATATCCCCTCGACGGTGCCCTCGATAAGTATGAACAACAACAGAAGAAGAGGGTAACCTGGGATCGCTATCGATGACAAGCCCATCAGATCCTCCTGAGGTCAAGATGTTGCCTTGCCAGGCGAGAGCCCCGATTCTTGATGATCGGCTCATCAAAGTCCTCAGCTTTCGCTTACCCTCAGCATCCCAAAGTTGGATTCGGCCATTGTCGAGCCCGATCGCAATGTGGCGGCCATCAGGAGCCCAGCTGACGCTTGTGACGGACCCACCACCACTTTCTCCAGTGGTCAGAACACAGTCGGCCGAGGAATTAGGGTTCCACAAGTGAACCGTGTCGTCGAGGACGATCGAGAGGAGGATGCTAGGGTTCCAGTCGAGCACGTTGAGGTGATCGGCGTCTTCGAGACCGATGGCGTCGAGGACCCGATCGGAATAAAGAACGCTTCTTTTTCTCTTCTTCGTGTTGTTGCTGTTGTTGCTGAAGAGATCGTTGAGGATTTGTCGATAATGGCCCCATTTCGAAGGAACATCGGGGTTCACCGGCGTCATTGGGAATGAAAGGAGAGGGATTTCGCGGTCCCGACGACGCCTCAGTTGACTGACGTCATCGAACTCCATTGCTCGAGTGAAAGAACGAGAAATTAGGCTTAGGTTTAGGGTTTCCTTGATGGCGGGACTTCGGCGACGGAGAGAGAGAGAGAGAGATTTAGCCAGAGAACATGAGAGAGAGAACAAATTGTGGTTAGGGTTTCGAGATCAAGATTTAAATAACGCGGGTTCGCTCAAACTGAAGAAGGCGGTGGCGGGCGGCCGCGTTTAAGGCCGGGTCGGGTCCCTTCGTTGTACCCGTTAAATGGTATTTGTAAGTGCGTATCGTCGTCAGGAAATGGGTCCCATTGCAATGAAACAGGAATTTTAATTGACAAAAAAAAGTAAAACTTGTAATTTTAAAAATACTAGTTTTTACACACGTGCAATGCACGTGATTTAATATCATGATTAAGTATTTTTGGCAGTTTGTGTTCATTTTTTTCTTTAAACTCTTACATCCCGATTATTTTTTTATGTTTGTTTAAATGAGATACACCCAATTTAAATTTTCATGTTGATATTTGAATTGACAATAAATAAATATAATATAAAAATAATTTGAATTTTCATATTATTTTTGACCGATATGAAACTAAGCTTTATTTGAGAAAGTATAACATTGCAAAGTGAAAAATATTAAAATAGTGTTATACAAGGAAGGTGAATATTTAAAACCAATATGGCAAAATGATTGATTTAAAGTATGTTAAAACGATGCAAAAGAGAATATGAAGTTTATTCCTAATCATTGATAGACTTCATAAAAAAATATAAATTAAAGATTAATGCTAACTCTAGTATACTTTTATATGATAAAAACATCCACATAAGAATATAAAAGTACTGAAAAAAATTCATGAAACTCCCTTCTAAAGATTCCTAATTTCACTCAAAATAATTAAACTATTCTATAAAATATTCATAAAATATTGTTTTTATTTCTTCTATTTTATTTTTTATTGAGTTAAGATCAATCCTTCTTCAGGTTTATCATTTATCATTTCTCGGACAATTCTAGAGTATTGTCTTCATCATCTACATCAATTGTGACATCAGGCTAATTTTGTATTTTTTATGCTATTATCTTTCCTAGGCTCGTTAATTTTTTATCATCTCATTTAACTTTACAAAGAAGTCAAATGTACTTATGATGTTCAACACAAACTGCTCAAAATATAGACTTTGATTTTTTTTCTATTTCAATGAGAATAAATATTAATTTCATATATATAAAATTCTTTGTGTTCCTAATTTATTACTTAAATAAATTAGAAGCTATCTCTTTATTTTCCTCTAAAATGAATTCTTCTGATGTGCATCCAATAAGAATTTCTGTTATTTCAATAATATTACCTTTGCTCTATCCCTGTCATTTTCCATAAAGATCTAAACTAAATACCTGCATTATTCATTACCAATTTCTCTTAGATTAAGATATTAATATTTAATTTGAAGAACACAGTATGGAATTTATGAATACTTACTAATTTTTCTTATGTCTTCCATGGAGATTTTTTCTTTGATTAGAATAAAGTTATTAAATTATTTTTTAATGTAACTCATTCAGTACTTTATTAATGGATATGTCTTATGTTAATGCCAATTCAAGTGATTCTTTGACGTTTTCTGAATTTTAGATTTATTTCCATCACTTTCCCATTTGCAATGGAAATAACTCAATTCTTTTAAAGTTATCTCTAAATATTTTAATAGTTTCTCCATATGTAATTCCTTGTATTCTTTTACCCTATAAATATTATTAACGTCAAAGATTAAAGTTTCTAAATTAAAATCAATTAATGCTAAGGTATAATATTATAGTGTTTTATCATTTCTATGGATTTAAACATCTATCAATTAATGTTACGAATGTATTTTGGCTACCCCAACTTATTACTAAAATTATATGAAATTACTTTAATTTATATAGTGCTGATAATTTTTAATCTATAATATTTTTAAAAATTTTATCCATTAACCGGATGTTTTTAATCAATTCTTATTGTTTTTGTTTACCAGTATCAACTTAGACTATTCTTAGATGCTGAAAATGGATAGTAAATCCCTAAATTAAAAATACCAAACAATTACACTTTTCTTTGCCAAGTTTTAAAATTTTAGCCCATTTTTGTGGTTTTGAACTTTGAGGGTGTGATTTATAATTTTTAAAAATTTGAAAGAGTTTTTAAAAAAAAATTACTTTTAAATTTGGTAGTTGTAAATTCTATGTTTCATGTGTTGGTGGTAATTTTTTAAATGTTAGTATATTTCTTGTAACTCTAAAATTTTGAGGGTATCTTTTGTAATTATTAAAACTATAGATTAATTTTGAAAAATATTAAATTTCAGTGGTCTACCAATCGACGAATTTGATGTGTGCTAGTTAAAAATTTTGAAAATTTAGAGTTTTTTCTACAATTTTTAAATTTTGAAGGAGTTTTTAAAAAATTTTGAGGTTAATTTCGGCAAATTTTAATTTTTTAGGTGTCTAAGGGTAATATCTTGAATTCATCTTATTTTATTTACAAATTTTAGAATTTTAGGGTGGCGTTTTATAATTTAAACTTTTGAATGTGTTTCTATAATTTTTGAGATATTGAGGGTGTTAATTAAAAAATTTAAATTTAAATGTCAAAAATTTTAGGTGTATCATGGTAATCTCTTGAATTCATCTGTGTTGTTTGTAAGTTTTAAAATTTTAGAATTTTAATGTGCTTGTCTGTAATTTAAACTTTTGAGGGTGTTTCTATAATTTTTGAGACATTGAGGTGTTAACTGTAAATTTTAAATTCTTTGCAAACTGATGTTAATTTTTTAATTTCATGTTTTTTATTTTAAGTTTTGAGACATTTAGATGAGTTTTATAATTTTAAACTTTTTAGGGTCTTTTCTGCAATTTTAAAACTTTTTATGGTTTTTTTTGCAATACTTCATGTATTATAATATGTTATCTACTTGTAATTTCTTTATCTTAACAAACTAATATCATTTTTATGTTTTATATATTTTATTAATATTAGTTTTTTTAAATTCCGTATGATTAGGGTAGATTAAGATATAAATAAAATATTCAAAATAGTGAAGGATAACATTAACCATTGAAAATTAGAATTTGATTATAGATAAGGTAGTTCAAACTATAAAGGGGTATATTTGTCTAAAAAAGATTTTCCGAACTCGTGCTTTTAAAGGGAGTATGACTAGTTTTTACACACGTGCAATGCACGTGATTTAATACCATGATTAAGTATTTTTGACAGTTTGTGCTCATTTTCTTTAAACTCTTACATCCCAATTAGTTTTTTATGTTTGTTTAAATGAGATACACCCAATTTAAATTTTCATGTTGATATTTGAATTGACAAAAAACAAATATAATTTAAAAATAATTTAAATTTTTATATTATTTTTGACCGATATGAAACTAAGCTTTATTTGAGAAAGTATAGCATTGCAAAGTGAAAAATATTAAAATAGTGTTATACAAGGAAGGTGAATATTTAAAACCAATATGGCAAAATGATTGATTTAAAGTATGTTAAAACGATGCAAAAGAGAATATGAAGTTTATTCCTAATCATTGATAGACTTTAAAAAAAATATAAATTAAAGATTAATGCTAACTCTAGTATACTTTTATATGATAAAAACATCCACATAAGAATATAAAAGTACTGAAATTTTTTTATAAAACTCCCTTCTAAAGATTCCTAATTTCACTCAAAATAATTAAACTATTCTATAAAATATTCATAAAATATTGTTTTTATTTCTTCTATTTTATTTTTTATTGAGTTAAGATCAATCATTCTTCAGGTTTATCATTTATCATTTCTCAGGCAATTCTAGAGTATTGTCTTCATCATCTACATCAATTGTGACATCAGGCTAATTTTGTATTTTTTATGTTATTATCTTTTCTGGGCTCGTTAATTTTTTATCATCTCATTTAACTTTACAAAGAAGTCAAATGTACTTATAATGTTCAACACAAACTACTCAAAATATAGACTTTGTGTGTGTGTGTGTGTGTGTGTGTGTGTGTGTGTGTGTGTGTGTGTGTGTGTGTGTGTGTGTGTGTGTGTGTGTGTGTGTGTGTGTGTGTGTGTGTGTGTGTGTGTGTGTGTGTGTGTGTGTGTGTGTGTGTGTGTGTGTGTGTGTGTGTGTGTGTGTGTGTGTGTGTGTGTGTGTGTGTGTGTGTGTGTGTGTGTGTGTGTGTGTGTGTGTGTGTGTGTGTGTGTGTGTGTGTGTGTGTGTGTGTGTGTGTGTGTGTGTGTGTGTGTGTGTGTGTGTGTGTGTGTGTGTGTGTGTGTGTGTGTGTGTGTGTGTGTGTGTGTGTGTGTGTGTGTGTGTGTGTGTGTGTGTGTGTGTGTGTGTGTGTGTGTGTGTGTGTGTGTGTGTGTGTGTGTGTGTGTGTGTGTGTGTGTGTGTGTGTGTGTGTGTGTGTGTGTGTGTGTGTGTGTGTGTGTGTGTGTGTGTGTGTGTGTGTGTGTGTGTGTGTGTGTGTGTGTGTGTGTGTGTGTGTGTGTGTGTGTGTGTGTGTGTGTGTGTGTGTGTGTGTGTGTGTGTGTGTGTGTGTGTGTGTGTGTGTGTGTGTGTGTGTGTGTGTGTGTGTGTGTGTGTGTGTGTGTGTGTGTGTGTGTGTGTGTGTGTGTGTGTGTGTGTGTGTGTGTGTGTGTGTGTGTGTGTGTGTGTGTGTGTGTGTGTGTGTGTGTGTGTGTGTGTGTGTGTGTGTGTGTGTGTGTGTGTGTGTGTGTGTGTGTGTGTGTGTGTGTGTGTGTGTGTGTGTGTGTGTGTGTGTGTGTGTGTGTGTGTGTGTGTGTGTGTGTGTGTGTGTGTGTGTGTGTGTGTGTGTGTGTGTGTGTGTGTGTGTGTGTGTGTGTGTGTGTGTGTGTGTGTGTGTGTGTGTGTGTGTGTGTGTGTGTGTGTGTGTGTGTGTGTGTGTGTGTGTGTGTGTGTGTGTGTGTGTGAAAAATACCAAACAATTACACTTTTCTTTGCTAAGTTTTAAAATTTTAGCCCATTTTTGTGGTTTTAAACTTTGAGGGTGTGATTTATAATTTTTAAAATTTTGAAAGAGTTTTTTAAAAAAATTACTTTTAAGTTTGGTAGTTGTAAATTCTTTTGAAAGAGTTTTTTAAA